TGGAACAGCCTGCCATCAGAGGTGGTTCAAGCACCTACATTGAACATCTTCAAGAGTAAATTGGATGCTTATCTTGCTGGGATCCTATGACCCCAGCTGACTTCCTACCCTTCGGGCAGGGGGCTGGACTCAATGATCTTCTGAGGTCCCTTCCAGCAAGGTGAGCAGAGTTGCCTATGGTCAGAAAGTCAATGTCACAGTGAGGACTGAAGCTCAGATCTCCTTGTGTTTGTCAAGCAATGTGTTGTCTCTTTCCAAGCATGGGTCCAATGGCCATGTAGTCCTAACACCTAGGACTAGTACTTGTGATGCTCATGATTCTGAGAGACCCCATCTAATCCTGGGGGTAAGGAAGCTACTCCCTGGCAGCTGGATCCCTGCTAGAGTGGAAAACAAATTTAGGGCTGATCTGCAGAAGACTTGTCACCATAATCCTCTCTTTATGCTGCCTTGAAACAGCCTTCATTTACAGTAAAGAAACAGGATATAGTGCAGGGTCGTGGTCTAGCTTCTTCTTAGAAGTGAGAATCCTGCCTCCTCTGGTCTATGTGGCTTCTAACTACAACCTGATAAATTCGTCTCTACCCACATACAAAAAACTAGAACTCTTGGTTCTAAAATGATACCTTTTATTGGTCTAATAAAAGATATAATTTTGGAACCAAGAGTTCTAGTTTTTTGTATGTCTTCTTGTCTCAGACCAACATGGCTACCAAGTACACACTCTACCCACAGGATTTTCAAGTGAACCCCTGGCCCTTTTAACCCCTTCAAAAAGCCATTCAGCATAGGCCTAGAACTGTCTCACCTACATGTTCTCCTGAAACACCTGGTCCTGGAGGTAGATCACTGCATTAGATGGTTTGGCACAATGTGGAGATCCCATTCCTCCAGGCCACATGAATAAACTAAGCCCCACCCACCTTGAGATATACAACCATTGTGTTCATTGGGTAGACTGGAAGCTAGCACAGAGATCTGCCAGGACTTGCCCAGAGCTATAACAGGTCCACGGCAGAGCTGGGGAAAAAAAAGCACAGATCTCTGCACAAGACCACGCTCCTTCCTGCATGCTTCTGACAGCTCTTTGTGGTAAGCTGAGAAGGAAAACAATGTCTTCATGCCTTTAATTGTGTCATTACATAAAAATGGGTTTTAAAGGATTTCTCTATCCTTTTCATTCTATAAGAAAAGGCGAAAGCTACATGACCTACATGATCATTACCTTGGAAATGGTAGAGAAGTCAAGTCAGGCCTTTTCCTCATGTCTTGTTGAAGGTCACAAACGTGGATTGGAAGTTTGCTCGGCCCTTAAGTGAAAGGATTGGAGACTTGGACCTCCACTGGAAGGGAAAGCTCTTCTTCCAAATGTTTTTCAGGCATTAGAGATTCTGTTATTCCTGATGCACCTATTACCCACGTGGTGTGGACATGTAAATGTCCACAGTCCTATTGCACATGCCCAGTAGACTACACACTGTCACCTACCTTCTCTCCTACCCCAGTACAATTTTGAGACTTGCATAGCCCACTGTACACATACAGACAGCCATATACCTGTCCAGCCTGTGTATGGTTTACTGAGATATGCAGTAGCGGTCCATGCTGCTCAGGTAACAATCACAAATTGTACATAAATGCCAAAAAAGCCATGCATGTAGTTGGAACCTGTAACTACAGAACCCTCCAGTTAAGGGTATAAAGGTAAAAGGATTTGAGTCTAGTTATTCTTAAACTTCATAAAGAAGCAAAGAAAGGGCAGAAATCTAGTTTGTTTTTCATTTGCAGGTCACCTTTAAGAAATGTATAGACAGTGTGAGGTGTGACAACACTGTCTCTAATTCAGGCTTGATGAGCTTAAACCACAGCCTTGAGTATTGCAGCTTACTACATTATCAGAGCCCCTTGTTAGAATAACAGTCCTGTTGTGACCTTAATACTTCCAGTATTATCCTACATATATATTTTGTGGTCTTGGGCGACCAATTTGCCAAATGTTAAAGGTTTGGGGTCAATGCCGTAAAAGTAGAGGTAGTAAATACCAAAAAAAAAATAAATAAATAATCGCTACCTTGTTTAATACATGATTGAGGTTTTACAGAACAGAGACATCAATTAGGTACAATAAAGGTAGTGGAAGCCAAGAGAAAAGATTCTATATGGTTTATTCCAGATTATGGTGTTTGTACTATTTCCTGGCTTACAAGTTTTCCCAACCCCCATGCATACAACTTTTCCCATGCACACAACCCAAACATGCCTCCTCACATTTTGAATTATTCATTCACTACCCAAATGACACTTAAGTCAGCCACAGGCCTTCACAACCCAACCAAAAGGTAACTCATGCATGCAAACTTTTGCTGGTATCTCCAGGAGCAGTATAAAGAGTGGGTTGTATGTGGTATCTCCACAGGATTTAAGTACCTCTACACCTCTCTGTTCTGCCTTCCCCCAACACACAGCGGCATGTCCTTCTTGTGTCCTGGAAATCACTCCTTTTTTTCTTCTTGGGTCATCATAGTCCTGGACCTTGACCTGGACTGAGAGGCAAGTTCCATGCCAAGGTACTCTTTCTGTGATACATTTATTCCTTGTGCTCTTGAGCTTCATGAGATGAACCCATTTTTAAGGGAACTGAAAACATGCTCTCCTTTCCACAAAGAGACTCAGTATCCTTTCATCTGCATTTGCCCTTTCAAAGAGTCAGATGATTCTGGAATAGGAAACTAGAAAACATTTGCAGTTTCTTTCTCTGCTTTTCTGTTAAGTCTTCAGAGAGTCTTACCTGATAAGTGATAGCCCTCTGAGCAAACCAGAGACTTCTGTAATCACTGTCTCTTCGAGTCTTAGCCAGTCTCAAGGACCCTCTAAGGGACCTAGATCTCTGTGACAGATCTACTGTAACTCAAACCCCCTTGGTTCCTCAGGATAACTCTCTTCAGCTTGCCTTGAACAGTACGCAGCACAGCTGTCCTAAAGCTGCTGGAAAAGAAAAAGAAAAGCACTGGGTCAAGGCAGCTGTTGAAAGCTGAGATGCAGAGGACAAGTTCATTGGCAAGGTGGAGAGTCTGCTTCCACTGCGTGCTGGAGATGACTTCCACTTGGGCAAGGATGTATGGGACACGGACCAAATGGTAGGGAGTGAAGCACACGCTGAAGATGACCAGGACCACGAAGGTCTTTGCAATGGCTCTCACACTGGTCTTCTTGCACTGCTGCTGACTCTTCCCTGAGACACCATGGAGCTTGACTGATATTTTGCCATAGGAGTAAAGGAAGAGCAGTAGAAGAATGAAGAAAGTAGCCACTGCTATCATGTTGAGGACTGCCCCCACTGTACTTTTGCTCCTGAAATGGAAGCACTTCTGATCACAGGGACTTTTATTTCTAGTCTCAAAAAAGAAAGGGATCATGAAGATGCCATAGGCCAGCCAAACCAACCTGGAGACAGTGGTACTGCAAGGCGCAGTGTGGATTCTGAACTGCTGGAGGGGCCAAATGATCTTCAAGTAGCGGTCAAGGCTGATGAGGCTGAGGAACATGATGCTGACGTACATATTGAGGTAGAAGAAAGCTCCAACTAGGTTGCAAAGGATCACAGGGCCACTCTGGTTTTGATAGACTATCCGGAAAGGCAGGCAGAGGGAAAGCAGAAGGTCAGACATTGCAAGGTTCCTCATGTACACCATGATTGAGGTCTTCCTCTGTGTACCATACAAGAACACCCAGAGGGCCAGTATGTTGCTGAGCAAGCTGATGATGAAGATAAGGGAGTACATCACAGGGAGAATCACTGAAAGGATTCCATCCTTGATCTCACAACTGGAGTCATTTGACCATGCCTGAGGGCGTTCAGTGGTAGGAAAGAGAGTGCGGTTGGAGTCCATTGTTTGGAATTCAGGTTCTGCAAAGACATTAATCCATATGATTAGAAGACAGTTTCTTAAACAGGGGCACGTATATCTGAGAAGGTGTGCAGTAAATTTCCAGAGGGTGTGTGGAAGGTAGGAAAGGGAAAGCGAAAGAAGAAAAAGAGGACAGATAAATGGAGAAAAAAGCAGCCAAAAAAAATTAACAGCAACTATACCATCTCTCTTAGGGTGTTGGAGAGTTTACAGTGTGATCATAGTGAAATAAAGTGCAAGTTTTTTATTATCCATAATGTAGAATCATAGGAGGAGGACATAGCAGTATAACAAACTTCAAGACATATGAGTTCCAAGACAGTTTGAGAACCACAATTACAAGACACCACACTTACAAGGTGTATGCATAGATAGATATTCCACATGTTTAAGTGCCCATCATCATGGCACTTGGTTGCACCATGCTGTAGTGTGAAATAAAGTCTTTCATCTTGGCCAGTTTAATGGGGATTGAACCAGAGTCCTGCAGAATGAAAAACATGAGCCTGTACAGCTTGAGCTGAGGAGCTAAGCTTTGAGCATAGGCATTGTAAAGACTCTTACCCTCTGTGGACTGAGAACAATAGGAGAATTTAGAGCACTAACCAGTGGGTTACAATTACAGCAAAGTGTCTAAAAGAAAATGGCACCATCTGACTCAGGAAATCAGCCCTGTCTTAGGGTGTAGAGTCCCATCCCTTTGCTGTGGTGAACAAAGAGTTTTTTGACCTAGGCAGGACACCTGACCAGTAAATCTATCAGTCTGATCTGCTTCAGCCATTCTTTTGTTCCTGTTTTCTTAGTGAAAGATGCACTCAGCAGAAACTCTATAGGCTGTGCTTTCAAGCACAGCAATCTGCAAAGGAACAGCATCTAAGATACTTACAGTAGGGTAAACTGCAAGCTGATTGAACACAAAGCCTTATGAGTGCAGTTCCTGTGAATTCAGACCATATCACAAGAACCTATTTATAGAGACAAGAACTCATCTGACTCCCCAAGAATAGATAGTAATCAAGTCTGCCAGATCACTAGCTGTCCTACAGGTCCTTGACTGATACACCCAAGCACAACTCTGCCTTGGTATTGCATGTTATTGTTCTTTATTCTTCTCTACTTCACACCAGGCCTGCTACATGAATGAGACACTACTGACAAGACTCCTCTTCACAGCAAGGCTGTTCCAGTATATTTGTCCTTACATCAGTGGTTCCCGACCTTTTTAAGTAGGAGATCACTTTTGGCATTTAAAAGCAACCCAAGATCTACCATGAACAACTGCCACCCCTCCCTCCTTCACCCAGCTACTCTAATGTTCCTGAAGTTCTATAGCTACTCTAACTGCAGTTTCTACAGCTTCTCTAATGTAGTTATCTGCTATCAACATCCAAATCTGCAGCCCACAGAGTATGTGGGGACTGTCCTGAAATATGTTCATATTAACTGCTGAACAGCATGAAGGCCATTGCAATGACTCAGCTCCCTCTTTCGTGGTTAAATTATTTAAAACTTCAATCTATGGCTTAAACTGGCCACAGTATTTCTGGTTTGCAACATTTGGGCAACTTAGGAACAGAAGGTCTGTGCTGCAAAGAATTAGGTCAGGATTGTCATGGAGTATATGGAGCCTTCTGCATAAAATGTAAAAGTGTATGTGCATCTGGTGCGTGTATCTGGTAGTGTCCATGCACCAACGAATGTGCTGCCCAGGGCACCCTGCATATGAAAGCAAGAATATATACTGTGTGTTGTATGTATATGCAAATATGATCATTCTGTGAGAACGTGTAATTGTAAATATGCAAGTGTGTGTGTAACTTTCACCAATGTGTGTGTGTATATACTGTAGAGCTACAGTTATCTGTATGAATAATTGTCAGTTTAAATATTTGTCACTATATACACATGTAAATGTAACTTTTATCTGTGAATATAACTAAAACTGCATACGTGAGAAACTGTAACCATGTGTTTGTATACATAGATATGTCTATAACCAATATACAGTCAAGTATGCGTGTAACCATGACCATTCTGAGCTAGTGATTATATATACTATTGTGTGTGCATATAACTCGCATTGTGTGAGTGAGAGTGGATGTGTGTATTTACCACTGGCTATTATATGCGTGTGAGAGTGTATATGTTGTTGTATGTGTATACTTAACTGTGACCACTGTATTAGTGATTGTGTATATGTATAATTGTGGCATTGTGAGTCACGATGTGTGCATATAGGTGCATGTCATTCTGTGTAACTGCAACCCAGTATAATTATGTGTGCATATAGTGTCTGTGAACATGTGTTTTGCATATATATTTGACATTAAATAAGAGTAGGTCTACATACTACTATGACTATTGTGCGAGTGTACAAGCTATTGTATCATGGCCATTTTGTGAATGAGAAAACGTGTGTGTGCATAGAAACAAAATAAGTGCATGCGGGTGTGTGTTTTCTTACATCTAATTGTATATATGTATTACAGAACATAAGTAATCATTCTCAGTGTTTTATTTAACCCCAGTACATTTTACTCCCTACCTACACCAAAAAAATCTTTCACTAAATTAAACTAGAAAAGCCCCATATGTGACTATTAATATATTTCAAAGAACATAGCTGATCCTTGAATGAAACCCTTAATGATGCAGTTCTAACCACAAGGTATTGTGAAGAGAAGACAGAGACAAGGCAGGGTTGGCATCACCTACCTCAGCAGCTCTCCTCTGAACTCTTGCTTGCCGTGACAGGTTCCTGCTCTGAGCTTCTCCCCTTTAAATCTTTGGCTTATGACAACATTTCTCAAAAAAGTCACGAGTGTCTTCATTGGTCTGCTCATCTCCGTCACACATGGTTGGCTCCTTCTTCAGGTGTTTGTAAGGGGAAGTGGCTTCATAGAAGTTCCTCTCTAAACCAGGCACAATGAATAGCCTTCAGCTCAGAGATGATGAGTCATGGGAGGAAAGAGATGAGAGTGATGTATATGGAACTCAGAATTGTGATTACGTAGGGGAAGTAAAAAATATTAAAAACCTGAATAATGTTGAGCCAGATTGTTGCTAGAACTGTCCCAATGATATTGAATAAAGTTCAGCAGTATTGGCCCAGATATAAGGAGCTCAACTGATTTCTACCCAGGAGCCAAAACACACCCCTCATTTTGTTGGACCTTTTTGAATGTAGCAGCTACTATATGAGTTTTAGGGCCAATCCTGGTAGCTGCCAAAAACGTTTTGGGTCACGAAAAAACAGTTGAGGGAGCTCAGTCCCTAGCAAGAGCTTTTTTGGTGCTTCAGTGCATGCGCTTCTGTGGAGTGTAATGCTGTGGGGGTCCAGTGATTTGGAACAGCCACATTAAAAACAGCTTTTGGGGAATACATTACACTTAGCCCAATACATGACAGGATGCAGCCCAGGGGACATATTGTCAGTGTAAGGAATACATTAGAGCAGTAGTTTTCAACCTGTGGTCCATGTAAAGATGATTAAGATCAGACAAAAGTATGTGAATATCTACACTTATAATTCAAAGAGGTCCCCACCTCCATTTGACATTTTCTAGAGGTCCACAAATTAAAAAAGGTTGAAAACCACTGCATTAGAGGCCTTGGCATAAGTGCCTCCATCTTGTGTACATCCTCAGTTATCTAAATGTTGGAGTAAACTTTGGATAACCTTATAGAGACAGGCTTTCAAGGCCAGATTCCATGTTTTTGCTGATATATACAGGAAAGCAGAGCACTGATTTAGGTGTTTGACTATAGTCACACTAACAAAGTAACTAAAACCCATTATCATAAGGAATAGCAGTCATTGTTAAGAGCAGAAACCTAACTGATAACCTCTGAAACCATCCTACTTAAACAGTTGTTATGTATTTCTCATAAATTTTTCAGTCCTGAGAAGGGGGTTCTTTATAATCAACCCCTTTCGATAACATATACCCAATCAGATTGTAGACAGATGTGTGTCATTAGTGAGTATATATAGATGACTGTAAACCTGGGGGAAGTGGGAAATCATGGACCTGAACCGCTGGAAAAACTGAACAAGAGCTCAGAGTTCTCATGGTTCAACCTACACCCATCCTCCCAGGTTTGAGCATGTTTTGCATTTCCATTGCCTGAATCTGAATGCCAGTTAAACTTATGTTTAGCTTTCCAATAAAGTAATTCTCTTGAGAGGAAACAGGTGTGCTCTCTCTTTAGTCCAGAGCCCTGTCCAACAAAGTAAGCTTCCTTTGTCCCAGTTTGGAGAAAGAGAGCTTCCATTCAGTCAGTGCTGAAGGAATCAAGGAAGCATTTATATAGAATGTCTCTCCCCATTGAATCAACCTGAGAGAGTCCTAGAAACAGTAGGTATAGGGTATAGGATCCCTGTGGGGGAACGCTAGAGAACAACTCATTTCCACAGTTGCTGCAACTCAGGAAGTCCCCAAACACAAAAGGAAATAAAATATGAAAACAAAAATGTACCTTTGAACAATTTCCACTTGGCTAGATTTGGTTCATAAATGAGCACCAGTCACCTATGCAGATGCTAATCTTGTACCAAGGAAGGAAAGGGCAGGGTGAAAGCAGAAGCAGAAGTAAACATCCTTTCACAATCCTTTTCCCTGTCACCTGCTCCATCAGGGCAGTAGTAGATTAAGATTTATTGAGGCCCTGGGCAAACAGAAAAGTGGAGGCCCCCATTATAAACATGAATGCATCAAAAAGCATTAATAAATAGACCTATTAAACATTTACACTGTGCATTAATAAATAAAGTATAAAACACAATGTTGAAATTAACTACTCAATTTTGCCACATGCACAACTGAATAAAACAACTGCCTTAGGAAAATGACTCAGATGCATGGGATTGCCATACATGCATACTATCACGAAAGGAATGATGTTTTAGTTTAGTGGTCATGTAGACTCTTGTTTGACTGTGTTTAAATACACATTTTGCATTGTTACAAGAAAAATAGAGGCTATACCAGTAGCCTCAAGTATGAGTCTAAGAATACCATTAGTGATTCTTGCAATTAAAATAAAGCAGTAGACCAACACAATGCATCTCAATTTTTTTTATCATTCCTGAAACATTAAACGTGCTAAACTTCATATACTGTAAATCTCTCTCTTTTATATACCCATTACACCTGTGTTTTAATGCTATTATTATATAATTACATAACCAAAGTGAGAAAATACAAACATATAAAATCTCATGAGAATGTATGGCTTACCTTTTAATTAATTATCAGATTCTTCCAAGCTTTGAGAGAAGTTTCCAAGCTTTGAGTATGGAGGAGGACCCCAAGGGCTGCTCCCTGAATGGGGGGCCAGCCTTCGGCTCTGCATCCCCCGCTGCTCCCAGCACCTTCCTGCAGCCCCAGGGTCAGGATTGTTCTGAGCAGGGAGTGAGCAGGCTGCAGGCACTGGCCCAGCATCTCTCTTCCATTCTTGCTGAAGACTTCTAGTCCACCTGCTCCCTGGATTCAGCCACTGCCCAGCTCCAAGGTCCAACAAGAGCTCTGCCGAGAGGGGCTGATCCTCAGCCAGGGCACCACACAGCCTCCCCCAGCCTTTCCCTCTTCCTGGCTTTATTGCTCCTGTGATAAGAGTCTCCATGTCAGCTATGGGGGCTGCCTTATATCTCCCGGGCGCCTTGGAAAGCCAAGCCCTGGCAGCTGCCCCCAGCTCCCCACCCCACCAGATGCCCGTCTATGATTCTCTCAGGAACAAGTGGGTCAATTGCATGCCCAGTCTCAGCTCCCACTCCATGGCTTCAGGACTGTGGCTGGGTTGGTTAAAGGGAAAACTGTTCACCACGCAGCTTGTCCCCAGCATGCACAGTTAGCCTCCCTTCTGAATTTTTCCCAGGGGGGCCCCTAATTGGCAGGAGCCTCTGATACTGGGCCCCTCAGGCCTATGCATTAATCCACCCTTCTATCTCAGTCAGGCTCCTGGTGGGGGGAGTGCTGTTCTCCCTTTTTTTCTACATAAGGGAACTGATACACAGGCAACAAGGCATTCCATAAATGCATGGCAGAGCTAGCATAGAGCCTCTGGGTATTGTTCACCTTCCTCTTGCATTTTGCATAGTCACTTACCCTCATGCAAAGTGGATGAATATATAACATCTGACCCTTTCAACCCACTTTGGAAGGTTTGTGGTATTAGAGTCAACCAAAAGGGCAGGTTTGCATTAAATATACCTTACTAAGCAGCAACAGCCTTAGATATGTTTCACTGTTCCATACAGGCTGCTTCCTGAACCAGCTATTGCTGGAGTAATGAAAGGCTTTCTAGTTATACTCACCATGCTGTTTCATTAAGCTTAATAGATTTAGAACTTTATTAGTGAATCATAGATATTTACATAGTTTTGTAGAGTTTGAAGAGAATACAGGTTAATGCGCGTGATAGCTACATGGGTACATACATAGTTGGCAGATGTTGACACATTCTAAAACATTGTTAGACATGTAGCCTACATTAGTCCAGGGCAAAGTGAATTAAGAAGTTGCAACATGATGCTATGGAGAGAAGAGAAACAAGTCCCCATGTATGGTAACTCCATTGGTACAGAGTTGTAGGGTAGTGAGACATTCTCAGACAATGGTTTTAGTATGTGGTGTACAGTTGCTGAGGTGGCAAATGTTCAAGGCCATTAACAAACTTCATAAAGACAATGGGCCGTGATACACTCAACATAGGTGTCCCTTGACCATTGGATGGTTTGACTACCATGAGGCACCTCATGAGTTTTGAATAGCAGCAGGAAGTCTCTGAACTTCCAGATTCCTTATTCTCCTTCTTCTACTCCCTCTGCAGACTCACCGGACACTCTCATTGCTCAGGTCCCATCCTCCAAGTGCTCCAACAATCAGCACCTACACAGACATGTCATACCCCTTCTCCCTCAGGGTATCAGCCAGTGGCCTGTACTTTACTTGCACAGCTTTCACTCCCAGGCTTCAGTGAAAGACTGCCACCATTTCTTAGGATAGTCATGTTAATCATTAGGATCTTTTTGTTCCTCTTGTCTGTTATCATAATGTCTGGACAAAGCTGGGCATCACAGCCTGGGACAGCATGCCTACCCTCCCAACTGATGCCAAGATGACCTTCACCAGTTAGTACTACATGCAGAAAACCATGGACAAAGCCAGATCATACAGGGTTGGATACCTGCCAGCCCAGCCACTCACAACAGCCAAGACAGTGTGGTGCTTTGGCCAGGCTTATTAGCATGGCTAAGTGACAGCTGCACTGTGGACACTTCTACACTTTTCCAGCTTGGGAAGCTTACCTATGTAAGCATTGCAGTGTCTGGGGGTACTACTGCTTGGCACAATAAGTTAACCTTCTAAACAAAGTTAAATTCTCTGAACTTCCAGGTTCCTTCTTCTCCCCCTGTACTGTTGGCCCTCCTGCTGGCGTGCCCTTGTAATATCTCTCTCCTTCAACATTACCTCAATGACATCTACACCTAATCCCCAACAACAGGGCAAGATTTCCTTGGCTGCCCGGACAGAGGAAGGACAGGCAGCTGCTTCAGCTTCTGCAATCTGCTTTCAGATTGAATCATTTGCAAAGTATCACTTACTGAAACTAACCTCAGGTATATTTAAGACAAATAGGAGGAAATCCTCTCCTCACACTGGTTTAGA